AGTATGTGTACTTGATTTACCTATAGCATAGACTTACATGGGGAAGCAGTGTGAAAGAATTTAAAAACCCAGGTTAGGATCAGGTACTGGAGCTCTGTGAACTTTGTGCTAAAGATTATGGGTTTTAGCCCATTGAAAATAACCCTCAGTGTATTACTTCAGGTTTTGTTGAGTACTAGTTTCAGTGTTTTACTTTTGAATACCATGTGCTCACTACCTAAGTGTAGAGTACTTCTTTAAAAGTACATGTAAAATCAGATTTTGTCTTCTCTCCCTCTGGGCATTCCTCAGACAAGCATATTTTTGTTGTTGTTTTGCTTTGCTTTGTTTCTTTGTACTGGGAATTGAACTCAGGACCTCAAGATTGACAGGCAAGCACTTGTGCCACTGAGCTATATTCCTGCAAGTATATCCCTTTATGTACATACAAGGAAAGTCTTTCCTATAAACTCATTTCTCTCATACCTGATAATCTTAGAATATTAGAATTGCAGACAACCCAGAAGTAAGAGAAACATCATCTCTATCAGATGATAGTAATTCTCATCAAATCCCTCCAAGGAAGAAGGCAAGAGCTGCTGCTTCCCAAGTACCAAATATTCTGTGTGTTTGTTTGTTTGTTTTGGTACTGAGGACTGGATTGCAGCTTTCATGCTGAGTTAATTCCCCAGCACTTTTTTGATTTTTCATTTTGTTTCAGACTTAGTTCTAAGTCACTGAATTGCCCCGCTGGGGTAGAAGTTGTGATCCTTCTGCCTCAGACTCCCAGATTGGTGAGTCTACAGGCGTGCACCACCAAGCCCAATCTTGACTTAGTTTGATTTTCACTCTCAAAATCAGACTTTTTGTTTTTCTTTAGCAGTGTTTGGAAGACCCTGGAATACTTTTAGTCCAGGTTAAAAGGAAAAACAGGAGGCCCAGACATAGGATAGAAAATTGGAATGAGGTATAGATGGGGGGAGACCAATTATTGGATGCAGAAGTGAACCCACTAAAATAAAAAGCTTCAGTGAATAAAAGGAAATAAACAAAAACCATAAACAAAAGTATAAAATCCAATAAGGAAAGCACAGAATTTAGACAAGACAAAGAGATCCTGAAAGTAAACTATATTTGGCATTGCAGTGCAATAAGATAGTTCTTGTTCCTAGCAAGGACCATATATCATAAAGCAAGTTAAATTGCGTCTTGAATTTGGAATGCAGAGAAAGTTGGAAGGAACTTGGAAAGCATCCTGTATGAAACTTAACCTTTTACAGGCTGAGTTAAAGTTGCTATGATCTAGAAAATATACATATGTAGAATACTTACTAAAAATTAAATCAAGGCCGGGTATGTTGGCACACTCCTATAATCCCAATACTCAGGAGGCTGAGGCAAGAGGATCTTTGGAAGTTCGAGAGCAGCCTGAGCTACAGAGTGAGAGATCAAGCCCAGTCTGAAATGCATAGCAAGACTCTGTCTCTAAAAGACAAAAATAATAACAATAATAAGACCTAATTATGTTATAATTATGTATATGTTAAATTCTGTTACTTTAGTATTTTCTAAAGCCCCAGATACTGCAGTGTTCATTCATATTTGATACATTTCAATGAAGCTTTTGTGTGATTGTTTTGTAAGAAGATTTTAGTACTGCTCTACCTCTCAAGATCTCTATCCCCTAGATTCTGAACTTGTCTTTTCACTTTGTAGAAAGATCACTGTTAGAAATTCTATATCTACAAGTGCTGCAGTGGTTACCGTGTAAGGCAAAAGAAGGCATGTATATAATGAAACCAGCTTTAATAGCAAATAACTGTAGCTTTACACAAGCCACTGTAACATCTTTTAACAAGTAGTTAGTAGACAATATTCATGAGGTCACTTTCAGCTCAGATGTTCTGATAAGTTAGTATTCAAAGTAGTGGTTACAAAGGAAATCTTACGGGAGTAGTTGCAGACAGGTAGAAATAGAATACGTTTATGGAGAGACACTGGGAAAATAGCCAGGAAGGGCTAGGCAAAGCATTTACATGATTGTAACCACAAGAGCCAAATACAACAGGATGTAAACTATTGTGCCTTCACGTCTGATTTTCCCAATAACTGCCCTTGTTTTCACTGATGGTAATAAACTGAGAGGATTAAGTGTGGAGAACAAATGGTTTAAGTTGCTTCCAATGTAGAAAGGTCTGGGAAGGATGTAAAAGAGTTTGAGTGGTCCCAAGCATAGTGGTTGCACCTATTATCTCAGCTTTATGAGACTGAGGCAAGAAGATAGAGCTCAAGAGTTCAAGGCCAGCCTGAATAATGGTGAGACCCTATTTCTTTAAAAAGGTGTAAAGAGATTGGGCGAAGTACAGTCTTGAGGAAATTTGCTTGATTATAATTATGCACGACATGCAAGGTCAAGGAAAACTCACATATTCTCAGAACCGTTGTCTGTCATTGTGGCTGCAGCTAATGTGGATGACCGAGCTGAGAATCCACAGTATCTCCTCTCAACGTTGTGTGTGAGTTGCTCCAGAACCAGAGCGCGAAGTAACAGCAATGTTCTTAGGACTTGTGAACCCAGCATTTTCTGACGTTTGTTGCCATGACTCCTGTACTGCCTCTACCGTAGTGTAGTCTAAGCTTACTAAAGAGTAATCACTCTACCCATTTAGGTTCTGCAATTCAATTCAACTAATAGAACTTAATTTTTACAGCTTCCCACAATGAATATAATCATTTTGTTCTGTAAACATGTACTAGTAAAAAAGTGTTTTGAAGGGGCTGGGGATTTAGCTCAGCGGCATAAGCGCCTGCCTTGCAAGCGGGCAGTCCCTGAGTTTGATCCCTGGTACCGATTAAAAAAAAAAAAAAAAAAAAGTGTTTTGATGAAAAGAAAACCTTAGACACCTTAGTATCGCTCTGATTTTAAGTCATTAAATCATTTATTTGTGCTGAATCAATATCAAGGAAATGTTAAGATTTCCTCTGGATAAAATTAGAGTTATATCATCATGAGCTTAAGAAATGTGAGACCGAATGTTTTGTTTCGCATTTTGTTTGGCTTTTTTGTTGGTTTGGTTTGTTTTGTTTGTTGAGTGGGGGGAGGGTGGTTGTTATTTTTTGGTAGTAGTAGGAGTTGAACCCAGGACCATCAAATGAGCTACATCCCCATCCTTTTTTTAATCTGACAACTTACTACCACCATAAAACCTTAACATATCAAAACTAAAGAGTGTTCTTTTAGATTTGCTATGTTCGTGAAGTACTGAGCCTGGCCTTTCTGATCTGCTTGTCAGAACTCTGATATATCCACTACTGCTACTTCTAGAGTCTCCGTTCAGCTTCATAACCCCCAGAAACTCCTCTGTCAAACCTAACAGAGTCCTGCCTTATATGTGTGTACCTTAGTATTCGGCAGATATTAAAAGAATCTTAACACGTGTTTCTTGAGCTCCTTCTCTGGCTGTTTTATCTGTAGCTCCTGTTACCACAGTTCTACCCGCTGTACCATCCTGAACTTCGTTTTTTTTTCTCACTTTCTGCCCAGTGAAGTAGCTACTCTTCATTTGTGTGCAACTTTCCTTTGTTGTGATTTGGAAGACATTCTTCAGCAGAAAACATTTTTTTCTCTCCAGGATCACAGCCCAGTGCCCTTATTCAGTATCCAAAAGCATAAACTATACAGAGCAATTGGTTTTCTAAGTAGTTCACAGTAAAAAACTAAGTTTTATATCTAGTTTTCCATTGTGGCAGAAAATAGGTTTCTCTAAACTGATTTTCATTATAGTAGTCTCTTAATCTTTTTCTTGAATGGATTAATATTACTAGATGTTTTATGATACATTCTCAGGAATTCCACAAAGGATATATATTAACATTCTAGACAACTGGCTTGTTTTTATGCTGTTCTACAGATCAAACAAAATCAATAATAGATTTTGTGAAGTTTGTATTTTGAGTTCCATATTATAAGAGAAGCTACAGTATAAAGATGTAACATAAGAACAGCATAAAGACTATTTTTCAACTTAAAAGACTTTATTTCCTTTGAGAAGACAAAATAGGCAACATTTAACCAGAGATAGTTGGTAATATACAACAGGAATTTATGTATACTGGGGAATAGTAGTATCCAATATTTAATAATCCATTTACAGTTGAACTCCACACAAATCACTTAATAATATAAATAAATAGTGCTGTAAGACAATATTTTATTTTAAATTGAAAGTAACTGAGGATTAAAGATGCTAAACAGTATATCAATTGTAAGACCCAGATTTCAAATCCAATTCTGCTCAGTTTTAGTGAGTTCTTAACTTCATGCTGGAGTCAGAAATGAAAATCAAATTGGATCTTGATAAACAGGTAAAGCTCTGTAAAAGTGAAAAATCAAAGAGAAATAAAATTACTTCCAAGAAGACAATATATAGGACCACTGTCATTACCACAGAACATAACCAGAGTATATTTTAAATTATTTGAGTTGAAGCATAACAAGGTAGCTGGAAAGGAAAAGTTTCTCCAGCAGGAAAAAAGAAGATGGCTATCATAGAAGAGGGGTTCTAATCAGGGCAACCACTTAAAAGACTTAAGTATAGTAATTCCATAATAACTAAATAAAAACGGGATTCAAGGTGATGGCATTGGAAATGACAGGGCAACGTGATATAATTTGATGAAAAGTATTCAAACCTTGATTACAAACTAAACTGAGATTTGGAGGCAGGAGCAAGTCAAAAACCACATTTCTTATTTAGAGAAAGTTGTGGATAAGAAATAACTGAAAAGACAGAAGAAAGATGGTAAGACCTGTTAACTTGTAATTTCCTGTAGTGAGTATTTTATAGGTGTTTAATGTTAGAGTTTGGTACAAAGAGAAGAATGGAGAAATACAAAATACTAGCAGTGTTCATGTACTATTCCCTTTGTGCTTCTATCCCAGCTTTCTCTGTTTCAAACTACATTTTTCACTCATTAACTGTATTTATGAAAGGTAATATAAGTCTGTTTCTGCTTTACAGAAAGAAATTCTGGAACAACAGCAGCAAGAACGAAATGATACCAGTTTTCATGGCATTTGTATGTTTTGTAGTGAGGAATTCCTCGGAAACAGGTTTGCCATTATGCAATTTTAAATGTAACTTTTTTTTTAATCTGAAAATTCATCAAAACACCTATAACTACTTTATATACACACACACACACACACACACACACACACACACACACACACACACACATATATGTTGAATTCTGTGGGTTGATCCAGCACTTTTTTCCATATCAATAGTATTTTTTTAAAAGATGAACTGTGGTTGCTCTAAGCAGAACAAGGGAATAAATTCTTAAAATGCCATGAAGAAATTTGTTTAATACCATAAGGCTTTTAAAACTGGCTGACAGGCAAGGCCATATGCAACAAACTATTGCAGATGTACCTCTCCATACTAGCTTCATTAACTCTAAATGTCTGGAATTTTTTGGTTTTTCATTTTTGAGTATTGAAAATGATAGACACTAGAGAGAGAGTTAGAGAATTACCAGTTCTCTCACCAACTCTGATCAGTCCAAAACCACCTTTGCACTAGAGTCTAATTCTGACACTGATCACCAGGAGTTACTGTCAGACTATGCAGCCTTAAAGACTCACTCCCTACATGACTACCCCACTTTTAGACACTAAACCATCAGTTTAAAGAGTTCTCAGGCTACTTACTTGAACTTTTGACTAACTGGATAAAAAGTCAGAGGTTCTCACTAATAATTTTTGTTAGTTTGAAATTCATTAGTTGATTCATAGAACTGAGGAAATACTGTGTTTCAAATGCAATTTCATTAAAGGGATACAGACTTGAAAGAGCCAAAAGAAAAGATAGGTCAAGGTATAGAAAGCTCCTGAATGCAAAGTTTCTTTTCCCTCTCGCCAAGGAATCAGGACCGGTCACCCGCCTAGCCCATGAATGAGTTCACCATCCAGCAATTACACTGAGCTTTGATGTTAAGTTTTTATTGGGACTGCATTACATAGATGCAGTTGTTGAAATCATTGAACTCAGTCTCAGGTCTCTTTTCTGGAAATCAGGCTGGCTCTCAAGTCCCAGCCTTCAGTCATACATACTGTAGTGTACTGCACTTTTTAATCATCATTTTGGATATATTCCTTCTTATTCCAAAAGGACTAACCCTGAAACTTCAGGCTGTGTTACACCAACAGCCTCATCCACCTCAGTGTTACGTATTTATTGATTCTATCAAGAAGCTTTGTTGTTTGCTTCTAATTGTCATATTTTGAAACTGTTTTATTTTTTCTCCTTAAAATAAAATTTAAAAAAGAAGCTATGTTGAGCATCTAGGTTTGTGTAAGTACACTCCTTAAAATAAAAATGTTTTAAAAGAAAAAAAGCAGCTATGTTGAGCATCTAGGTTTGTGTAAGTACACTCTATGATGTTGACACTATCACTATCACACATCTCACCCAACACACCGTCACTACTATGTGAGTGATATCGTAGACCTACATTTGTGTTCTCCCAGCATCGGGATATAAAAAGAATACAAACACAAAAGAAGTAGATAATAACAAATGTAGAATAGAAAATATAGAAGCTATTTATCTCAACCCATTGTTTCTTTGAATGTGAGGCATATTTCATATGGACAGTAAGTTGGACCATGTTTATTGTCAGTCCTGCCTTTTAATTGGAAGTATTTCATTTATGTTTAGTGTAATCACTAATAAGATGGGATATACTTCTATTATTTTGCCGTTTGTTTTCTAGATTTTACGTCTTTTTTCCTCTCTTCCATTACTACTATCTTTTGTGTTGAATAGATATTTCTAGAGTATGATTTTAATCCCTTGTTTCTTTTACCATGTTTTTCTAGTGATTATCATAGAGATTACAGTTAACATTTTACCTAAAACCATTTGATCCAGATTAATACCAGCTTAATTTTAGTTCTGTATGAAAACTTTCCTCTAGTGTTAACTTGTTCCCTGCCCCCTCTTTTTTCGTCATACATTATCACATCTTTATACATAAGTTCACAAAACATTTTATAAGCAATCACTGCTTTATGTAGTTGTCTTTTATATCAATCAAATATGAGGGAAAAAAAAGGGTTATAAATGAAACAACATATTTTATATTTACCTTTATAATTACCTTTGCCGGCATTCTTGGCTTCTTCATTTAGATTTGTGTTACTCTCAGATATCCCTTCCTTTTTGCCTGAAGGAACTCATTAGTTTCTTATAAAGCAAACTCAGTGGCAAAGAGTTGTTTCAGTTTCTATTTGTTGATTTGTTTTTCCATATTTTGAGGAGTAGTTTTACTGGACAGTGAATTCTTAGTTGAAAGTCTTTCAGCACTTTGAACATAACATCCCACTGACTTTCTTGTTTGCATTATTTCTCCATGAGAGGTCAGATGCCTTGTTAAGAATTCCTTCTAAGGGGCTGGGAATGTAGCTCAACCACACAGGCCTGTCTGGCAAGCATGAGGTTGTGAGTTCAATTCCCAGTACCAAAACAAACAAAACAAAACAAGAGCAAAAAAACCAAACCCTGACATTGACACTTACCATTAAAATAAATGTCACAACATTAAAAAAAAAAGAGAGAGAGAACTGAAGTCAGTTAAGCTGACTGGGCGCCTTGGCTGGTGGGTGCCCAGTGTGCAGCGGCTGCAGACAGCAACGTCCTCGGTAGTGTATGCATCTTGTTGCTGGTATGGGCTGCCCCAAGGGACCTTGGAGACACAGAACCTTGGAGGTTCTGACAGATGGATATTCTCTCATATCTGACCACCTGCCACCCCCAATCCAGGCTCCAGACTGGCATGAGGGGTGCCTTTGGGAAGCCCAAGGGCACAGTGGCAAGGGTTCACATTGGACAGGTCATCATGTCTGTCCACACCAAGCTGCAGAACAAGGAGCATGTGATTGGGGCTCTGCGCAGGGCCAAGTTCAAGTTTCCTGGGCACCAGAAGATCCATGTCTCTTAAGAAGTGGGGCTTCGCAAAGTTCAATGCAGATGAATTTGAATACATGGTGACCAAGAAGCACCTCATTCCTGATGCCTGTGGGGTGAAATATATCCCGAATCGTGGTCCCCTGGACAAGTGGTGGGCCTTGCACTCCTGAAGGATTCCGCTGCCCTGCCCCCCATAGCAAACTCAAGAATAAATCTTATCTCTGCCCTAAAAAAAAAAAAAAGAGAGAGAAAACCAGGAGGTCTGCCTCTGCCTGCCAGGCACCACCACCCGAAGGCCCTTTCCTCTGCGCACCCAGCACAGGGAGAGAAAACCAGAAGATCTGCCTCCACCTGCTGAGCGCCACCACTGGAAGGCCCTTTCCATTGAGCACCCAGCAAGGGCTGAGAGAGACAGACAGATCTACATCTGCCTACCCTGCGCCACCACCAAAAGGCCACATCCTGCAGGCAGCCAATATGGGCAGAGAGAAGCAGCAGATCTGCCTCTACCCTCAGGGAGCTGCCACCAGAATGCTTCTTCCTGTAGGCAGCCAGCAGGAGTGGGGACACACAGCCACGTAAGCCCTGTGCATCCGTAGGCCTCCATTTGATGCCCTTGGTTCCTTCAGACAGCCATCACCCACTAGCAGAATCTGACAAACACACTCCTGTGTATCTGCCACCATCGTGGGAGTCCCAGTGTAGACACACAGGCTGAGAGAAGCAAAGCCACAGTGTAGCTGCATAGATCTTAAGAAGCCTGTCCCATGCCCTGCTGTCTCCCTGTAAATCTGGAATTAGAGGAACCCAGGGTGCCTATCTCATCCCCCACACTGCCTAGGGGCAGCCAACATAGAAAGTGTCTGGGGCCCCACAACCAGCTTGTTGGGAGGAACCCAGGAGAATGTAAAGACACAGGAGCAAAAGGCAAACTGAGACCTCTATTCTGCACAGAATAAGTATGGGAGACACAGTCATGGAAGAAAATGGAAGTCACACACCTGAAATCTCTGAGAGGATAGCAACTGAAGTAAGGGAACAACTTCATGAGTTTGTAAAAGCGGCCAAATCAGAAATAATGTCCCAGGTAAAAGAAGAAATCACAAACACTGAAAGAATTGTTCAGCAGGTCTAGAGAAGACATAGACAATAAAGAGGAGCATAGGAAAATGATAGAAATCTTGAATGATGTAGAAAGGAATTACAATGCATAAAACAGATTCAAAGAGAGATCCAAGAAATTAAAAAGTTAATCAAAAGCTGGCAAAACCACTTGAAAGAGACTGAAGATAGATTTTCAAACCTTGAAGACAGGATTGCAGCTAGTGATCGTGAAAGGAAAGATCTCTTAAAAATAACACAGAATCAGGAAATAACAGCTCATCTGCAAAATGATGCAAAGAAGCATAACTTAAGAGTAATAGGTGTATGTAAAGAAGCAGGGATTAATACAAATGAAATTAAAAGGATATTCACTGAAGTAATAGAAGAAAACTTCCCAGACTTGAGAAATGGATCTGGCATGCGGATAAGTGAAGCATATAGGACTCCACTAGCCATAACCAAAGTAAATCTACACCTAGACATATAATAATCAAGATCCCAGAAATTCAGCACAAGAATAGAATATTAAAAGCTGTTAGAGAAAAGAGATGGATCACCTATAAAGGAAACCAATCAGAATCACAGCAGACTTCTCAACACAAACCATCAAGTCAAGAAGAGTTTGGAGTGAAGTGTTTCAAACCCTGAAAAAAAACAGCTTCCAACTCAGATTGATCTATCCTGAGAAACTATCTTTCAGAATTGATGGAAAAATAAGAGCAACTGAAGGAATTCATGACTACCAAACCAACCCTACAGAGAGTGCTAAAGGATATTCTAAAGAGAGATAAAGATGACCATGGATCCAGGAACAGCAGCAGAGGAGGATCACCAAACAAGACAGGCAGATGAATGAAGGGGAAAAGTGGAGGGCCAACAACAGTAGGATAGCAAGGCAGAGACAAACCAATGTATGCTGGTTATAACCATTAATGTGGATGACCTCAGGTCAGCAATAAAAAGAAACACAGGGAGAGTAGATCAAGAAACAAGATCTATCAATACACTGTATACAAGAAATACATTTAACTGGAAAGGAAATTCACAGACTGAAAGTCAAAGGAGTGAAAAAAATTGTTTCATGTGGCAGGAGACTTAAAAAAAGTAACTAGCCCATCAATCGTAGAATGGATGAGAAAGATAAGGTACTTTCATGTGGTGGAAAGCTACCAAGCTATAAAGTAGAATAATCTCAAGTCTCCTGTGGGTAAATGGACACAACTGGAGGTCATGTTCATGGCTGAAGCAGTTCATACACGTGAACCCTATAAGAGCAAAGGGAGGAAATACCTGGGAGGGAAAGGTAGAAACTACTGTCAATTTCTTATTGTCTGACCTTGAACTCTTGCATTATTTACACAGTTTTGTTAGGTTTGGCTTTGATCTGTCTTCTTTTGTTAGATTTTATGCTGTCAGATGGTTTATATTTTGAATATAATAGGATATAATATGGTAATCATAGTTTTCCTATTATATTGCTTTGAAGTCTTTAAAAAAAGAATTCCTTGTATATGAATCTGTTCTTTTTGCTTTCAAAACTGTGTATTTGTCTTTGCTACTCTCTCCCCAACTTTTAGAAATCTAGTATTTGTATGTTAGTAGACTTGATGGTTTCTGAGACCCTGGCAAGGTTTCGTTTGGTTCAACTTGATTTTTCTTCAGTACTGAAAATTGACTCTTTCATTGGTATTGTTTGATGTGATATATTCATACTTTGGTTTTTTAGAGATGGTTGCCTTTAGTTCTTTGAACGTATTTATAGTAATTTGTGGCAGAAAAATGCCACCACTACCACCTCCACCAGTATACTTCAGTTTGTTAGTTGCCCAGGTAGCAGTTCCTGTTCCAGTTCCTGTTGCTGCTGTCTCTTGGAAATGGCTCATCACCATGATGCATAGCTGGTCACTGTGATGCACATTATAAGAACCAATCCCCATTGACAAGCCGTTCTTCCTCTGTGCCCCTACCTTGCTTATTCCATATATGCCCTAGACCACCAGATATCAGGGCCTGATATTCTGGGAATGATCCTGATCTGTGCATGTTGACATAAATAAATTTGCCTCCAAATGTTGGATATGACTTTGGTGTTTGAAAGAGACCATTGCAGACAGACTTAAATTCTCTGTCAAATAAGTCCAACAGCTGAACTTCCTCAGAAGTAATTTCTGTTGTCTGATTTTGTTGCCCATGAATATGACCCATAGTTTCTCTGTGCATGTATTGTAATTTTGTTATTAAAATGCACCTTTTACAATGCACCAAGTCTGAAAATCAAATACTTTTGTTTGTCTCACCAGGATTTTTGTTGCTATTTATAGGGGTAGTGGTTTTTCTATGCTATTTCTTCAAACAGTGTGTCCACTGAAGTCTCTATCCAATTAGCTTAGCTTTAAACTGGTGATAACATAAAGATTTCCTTTAATGCCTTAAGCCAGTGTATCATCTGCTGTTTGTCAAGGGATTCTGTATGTGAATTGGATCCTACATCAGTTTACAGCTCTGCCTTACCTACACTTCAGAGTTGAATAGAGTCTCATAGTTAGCCAAAAGTGGAGGATTAGGATCTTCTCTTGTCTTTCCCATGTCTCCACTCAAACTTACACCTGTGTGTGACCGTCTGTGCCACCAGAAATCTGTCAGAAGAGTGAGAAATGGATAGGGGAAAGTAAAACACAGCCAAGCTCACCATTCTTAGCACAATTGGATCATTTTTCTTAAATAAATATACTTTGGATTATCATACACCTGTGGTAGATTTCCAGAGTTCTCCAAAATAAGAATTATTTTGACGTTTTTTTGCCAGCGTCTGCATTGCTTTTATGGAAAAACATATTTTCAGAGGTCCTTACTTAATCGTTGCAAAAATTGATTCTCCCAAAGCTGTTCCTTTAGCTTAATCTCATTTGTCCAAGTCACATTTGTAGGTTCAGCGGAGATTCTGACAACATAAAATGCTAAACTAAGGAAAAATATCAATCTGGAGAGAACTATGTAGGGAAAACTTCATTTCTGAATTATAGAGGAAAAAAATATTTGAGAAGGAAAAGTACATGAAGTAATAATTTAAGTAAAACTTCATTTGAACCCAGAAAGTATTAATCATATTCATAAGTATTACAAGTCTTTAAGGATCATTGTGAGTGTGAAAATATATAATGATTTTTTTTTGTCTTTTTTGAGATGGGGTCTCGCAAAAATATATAATGATTAAAAAACATTTTCATGAAACTGGCAGGCATTTAATTTCCCAGAAGTGAAACCTAAATTGATTAGAAACTAAGCCCACCTCAGTCTGGGCTGCCCCTGGAGAAGCCTGGTATAGACCCAAAAGTACTGCAGATTACCCAGGGAGTACTTTCAGTCCAAGTTATTAGTAATAGCTAAGCAGATGGACACATGAGCATGTTACCCACAGGTCAATAAATGTAGCTCCTTCATGGCTAAAAAAAAATAATAGTCACAATTTTTAGAGATGTTTGCTTTATTTTAGTTTCTCAAAGAAAATACTAAGAACAGTTGGAGGGAGACAAGTATTTGAATAAGCTGTATAAAGTAACTGTACAATGTGTCACCACCCCTATCTTACCAATGTTATATGTACTTCTGTGTCCCCTGAAACTGTCACCTTTCTTTTATGAAATAAAGTTGTGATAAAATCTGAGTAAGATAATATTACTACCTACATATGTTTTTTTGCTGTATAAAAATTAATGTGAATTAAAAGTTTTATATGGAACGTACACACTATGGGATACTATTCAGCTATATAAAAAAATTAAATCCTGTTATTTGCATCACTGTGGATGGAGCTGGAAAACATTGTGTCAAATGAAATAAACCAGTCACTAAATGACAAGAGTCACATTACTCTGCTCATATATGGAGTCTAAAAAATATCACTCTTATGGAAGTGAGAATAGAACAGTGATCACCAGAGCATGGGAAGAGTGGAGATGGGGCAGGTTGGTCAGCAGGTGTTAAGTTACACTGAAAAATGAGAAGTTCTGGTGTGCTTTTGCACAAAAGAACGTGACATTGCAACATATATTTTAAAAACTTAAAAAGAAAGGAGTTTTAGGGCTGGGGATTTAGCTCAGTGGTGTAAGTGCCTACCTGGCAAGCACTAGGGCATGAATTTGATCCCCAGTACCAAAAAAAAAAAAAAATTGAATAAGAAAGGAGTTTGTATACTTGGAACCATGAAAAAAAGGATGAATGTTTGAGGGATGGATTTACATTAACCTGAATTAAATATTATACATATACATGTATCAAAATATCACACAGTAGTTCATAAATAGGTCCAGTTTCATGTGTTTATGTATCAGTTGAAAATCAATTTGAATGGTGAAAAAAAACAAAGCTCCCCAGTTTTACATAAAATAATAAGCTGTCAGAGTTTCTAGGTTGCATTGTCTTGTGTATTAGATCTGTTAACTGTGGGTTTCAGGTGTCTTCCAGTGATAAACTGAATGTCTAGGATCCCAAGTCATAGCAAGTCACCTTTCTGGTAGGCAGTTCTCTTGTCTCTTCCCCATTAAACTAGTCAGGGCAATGTCACGCTCCCACATTGTATTTATAAATAATACACATTATTCAAATTACTTCCCCTTTGCCTATTCAAACTTCTATGTCTGTCTCCTCTGGAAACAACTTACAGGCATATCCAGAAAGAATGCTTTACCAGTTCTCAAGTTAATCTAGTAAAGTTGACACCTAAAATTAACCATAATATTCAGGATGAATTGTAAAGCAAAAGCACACTTCCTATAGTAGATCAAAGGGCAGAGACCTGATACTCCTAAAAATGCAACTCTCCAGTGTCAGATAATGTAATGAATTTCAGCCTCTCTTTAAAGATGTGGCTATACTTTCTATATAACATGTCACTCTTTCATCGCTCATGTCAGTGCTTAATACTTGCTCATGCTTCCAATTAGTGTTATTGTCTGAATGCAATTCCTAGCATGATTTGTTCCTAGGTGATTTATAAATAATACAAATTACTCACATTTCTTCATAGATCTGTTCTTTTGAACCACATGGCCAGAGAACATGCTTTCAACATCGGATTGCCTGACAACATTGTAAACTGCAATGAATTTCTGTGTACCTTACAGAAGAAACTTGACAAGTAGGTTTCTATTTTAATCTTGGACTTTGTTGCAAATTTTTAAAAAATTAATAGGAACAATTAAATAAAAAATTATTTCTATAGGCGTTTGCATTTTCTACAACAATCTTCATTTTATCTAGATTATATTTTACTATTATGTTTTAATTAAAATGTCATTTATACCAATGTACAGACAATACATCATATACCAAGTAGTGTGTAAAGACCATGCCCCCCTTCTCACCTAAGAAAGAACCGTAATAATTCTTTGACTGTCCCTGTGTGCTTTTCTCTGTTAGTTTCCCCAGAAATCACTGTTCTTAGTTTTGCAATTATAATGTCTTGCTTTTCACAATAATTCTCCTACATGTTTAATAAGGCAAATATTTTGTCGAGTTTTGTGTGTTACTCAGCTTTCTGTGAGACATGGCGTTCTGTATGCATTCTTTTACTCTTTACTTTCCATCCTCATTTACACTAACACTCCCCTGTCTGGGACCGGATTCTGACAACTTGGTATTGAGAACCTATTGAGATGAAGAAGGAAATTCTCTTGAGTCACCAAAGTGGCTTTCAAAGTATGTGCACTATTCTTTCTAGAAAAAGGCTTAAGAGTTTCTTTCAAGTTTATTTAGAACCCAATTTTGATGAATACATTTAAATATAATACTGACAAGTCTAGTGTTTCAGCACACAACATTAAGGGCAATAACATTAAAATATTAATAGTACCAAGTGATGCTGATCAGTAATTTAAAAAGCCAACTGAAATTTTTGTATCAATATTATGTCCAAGTGAATCACTTTACTTTTTTGTTAAATGACCCTTCAGTTATAAAAATATGACCAGACGTGCTTTCTAATAAGATTAGCAGTAATGAATAACAATAATCAGCTTATTGATACTTGTGTGCTATAAAAGACTATACTTATTTCTATACATAAGAAATAAGAGAAAGGATGTGTATAGATTTTTTCAAAGGAATTCAAAACTGAAACAGTAGCAGATTGTAGTCACTTGAGAGTTGGTATATAAAAGAGATTAGACCTAACTCTATGCCTCTAGATTACAGTCTAGATTAGATTTACTCTGTGTGACTCTAACTGGGGCTGTAAGTTACATGCAGTATCATCTGTCAGGTTTAGTTAGGAGTAAATCATTTGGTCAGTAATCTATTCAATCCTGATAATTACAACTTTATTAAGTATTGAATTCTCCATAACTAAAAATATTTAATCAGAAGGCATATGAAAATGTCATAATAGCAGCTAGCATTTATTTTGTCATATCTATTCATACATTTACCTATATGAATAAAATATCTAGCATACCTTATACATAATGAATACTCAATAAATGTATGAAATGATAATAAAAATTCTGAAAATGTTGGGTGTTATCTTCATTTGGAAATCAGAAAATGACAACAGAGAAGCCAAATAATTTTGACAAGTTTCCTAGGTAGTAGATACTGAGCCCAGGAATTAAAAACCTGCATATCAGCTTACAGAATCTACTATACCGTGTACTATTGTTATATGTAGTCGGGGCATCAGGGTTAGTCATCATTGTTACTTGAAGAATATATCATCTGCATTTTCACTTTAGAAAATGTAGTTCTATTGGCAAAGCATCAAGATAATGTTTTTACATTAGCTATCCTTGTCACATCACATTTTAACTAATTCACCGAGTTGGCCAATTTAGCCAACTACAAAATGAACCACATCACGCATCCTGCAGGGCCACAGGAATAAAGCAAGAAGGATTCAGACAAGGATGGTGCATCCATTTGAAGATTTTGATGTGACTGAAAATGAATATATGCAAAATTCAAGTTCTCACAGCTGTTATCCAAGACTTATTCAACCTTGTCTGTGTATTTCTTTTAGTTTGCAGTGCCTGTACTGTGAGAAGACCTTCAGAGATAAAAACACACTCAAAGATCACATGAGAAAAAAACAGCATCGTAGAATCAATCCAAAGAACAAAGAATATGACCGATTTTATGTCATTAATTATTTGGTAAGCTTTGTTCTCATTATTTAAATTTGCCTGCAGTAATACAGACAGTCTTCCTAAAAGCTAGCTGGTGTTCAAATAAGAAATTAATACAACTGCAACTGAGGGGCACTTTCAAGCAGCAGTTCGTGGTGATTTCCAGAGCATTTGATTTACAAAATGATTTGTCTTTGATTTGACAATTGTTCAGATGGTAAAAAAGGTCTCTCAGTAGAACTCACAGTGATGACAACCAAGCATTAAAGAACTTCAACATTTGGATGTCCTTGCCTGGAAACCTCAGTACCATTTGTTGGCCTGTGTAGATTACAGTCCCTTTCTGGTGAGAAGTGGTATTCAGTTGGAGACCGATGTCAGTCTGGCAACCTACAGAAATATGGGAGATTTTGGGTTGACACAATGACAAGGCAGTACTGCAGGTCCTGCCCTCCATCCACTGACTTTTTTAATTGTATGTAACAAAGGAAGAAAACTCTTCAGAGAAAGAGGTTGACTAATTCCTGAAAGGAGAAGAATGGGAAGAAAGCTGAGGAGCTATTTTTGAATGGTGCTTTCTTGAGTAAATAGAAATTGCTTATTTTTCCCCTTGATATGAATGAATTAAGGATAACTAAATATAGTCAGCCATTTTATCTGTTGGGTAACAACATGGGAATTTCCATTCTGGGGTGGAATTTTTGTCTTAACTAATCTATCTAATGTTAAACTGAAATTTCCCTTGAGAAGTGAATCGAGCATGTGTTTGAAGATTGACTTGGGGTGGTTGCCATGGTTTGCTGCAAATGTTTTACAACTAGCTAAAGGCAATGCCACCGTTTCAGTCCTTTAGTCTTCTCTTGAAATCACTGCCATTACTCCCCAAATGCTGCATGAGGGCCCACTTGAGTCCCTAGAGAATGGACTTCAGAGTTAGCACCAAGAAGTATTCGACTTCTACAACAAGCTATGCAGGTGATTTCATGCTTCTTCCTCCTGTGCTCTTTTATGCTAAGACTCAAGAGTTTGGGCTTGGCAGAGCATTATATGGCAGGAAGAATTTACCTTTCAGAGGAGACTTCAAAAGTTTGCATGCTCATTCTGCTGGTACTTTCAGGAAAGTGTGACACTTCAGTCTCAGGAATACTATGACCGTCAGAACCAAAATCATCTTCAAGCACCACTGTCCTTAGGATGCTGGACTGTCCTTAGGATGCTGGACTATACTGGCCTCACTGTCTAATTTGGCTATAGTAACCATGGCTAAAGAGAATATAAACGTTTTAATAAATGTAAGATATAAATTTAATGACAGCTTCAGATTAGCTTTGACACGCTTTTGTTTTTACTAGCAGCTATTAGAGCACTTACTGGAGGACAGGTACTGTGTTAGGTATCACATTAAATCATTTACATCCCTATGATGCAGATATTATTATTGGATTTAGGAACTTTCTGGTTTTCTTTGTTTGTTTTTGAGACAGAGTCTTGCTGTGTAGTTCAGACTGGCTTTGAACTCATTATGTAGCCCAAGTTGGCCTCAAACTTCCAACAGTCTTCCTGCCTCAGCCTCCCAAGACCTGCATTACTTAGTTAATTAAACTCAATTTGTAAAACACAAGTCTGAGGCACTGAGAAATAATCTTCCCAGATTCACACAGGGCAAGTTTTTTACCATCTGTATCCTTTTCTTTCGTTTTACAGTTCAGATGATGCATTTTATGCTTTGGGTTGAGTTTTTTAGTGAAGTAGTGGTGATGATTTCATAATGATCTCTTCACACATATGCACACACCCTTGCTTGTTTTGTTTTATAACTAGACAGTGTGCCAACGTCATATTGGAGCTAACTTTCATGTGTGCTTTAAGATTCTTATCCACAGCCCTAGTCCTGTGTGCTTCCTATGGGGAATGCAACCAGTGATAACTCTAGGAATGGGGATGGGGGTAAAGTGTTTGGACGCCTTGGCACCGTGAAAGTGACGCAACAGCTACATTGAGTACTAGAGGAGTGCGCAACAGCGGTATATCCTTAATGACACTGAAAGAATGTTGTTGTAGGCCAGGTGTGGTAACACATGCCCATAATCCCAGCACTCTTGGGTGGCTGAGGCCAAAGAGTCAAAAGTTTGAGCCCAGCCTGAGCAACTTAATGGCTTAGCAAGACTCTGTCTCAAAAACAACAACAAAAATTTTTAAAGGACTGAAAATGTAGTTCAGTGCATTACAGTTCCCAGTATCACATATATATACACACAAAAGAATATCATAGTTGGGACTGGGGATTTAGCTCAGCGGCATAAATACCTGCCTTGCAAGCAGGCGGTCATGAGTTTGATCCCTGGTACCGATAAAAAAAAAAAAAAGAGTATCATAGTAAAAAAAAAGTATGATAATACATAGAATATATATGAGAGACTCTTACAAGTAGTAATAATGTATAAAGCAAAATGAGGGCCAACAGTTTCTCTGCATCATTTTAGTTGGAGGTTTGTTATTTAAAAACTGAAGAAGAAAATGAGAGACTTGACTTATTCGTCTGAGGAGAAAAGACAGAATTGTGTTCATAGTCAGTGTTTATACATCCACTTCATTGGCTTTGTACATTCTGCATACATTTGTGTGCCTTCCAGGGCCAGATGCAAAAACAGAAAGAAAGATATTGTACCTGATTTGATTACCTCTCTCAGAGTTCAGAGTTTGGTATGGGAGACAGATGCAGGACTCTGTTTGAGTGAACCCCTTGGTAATGGTGTGGGCACAGTCAATATTTGACTTCTTGAGCAGCTGTATATGCAGGAATTGAGTCATCCCACACAGAATTCCTCACCTCATTTCAAACACTGTGGACTCCAGCACAGAGATGGGAGCATCCAGGATGTGCTGGCCAGGTGCACTCTGTAGTCATCCAAGAAAGGGAGTCAGCACACAGAAGATGCTGTCTGTTCCCTCTGAGCTCAGCAAATTGACAGGTTCCTTTTTTCTTCAGTAAGATAATTCCCATGTTTAGTAATTCATATCAGTTTCTCAACAACAGACTTGCAAAAGTCCTTCCCACAGTCTGGATTGTCTACTTCAGGTTATTGCTTTGTTTTCCACAAATGAAGAAGGGTTCAGTTGGTGGTGGGGTGATTAGGAGCAAGGTGCCACTCAGATGCCCCTGCCTACTACTTAACATCACAGGGGCTTCTGCTGTGTATTCCAAAGAGGCTTATATTTTGAACCCTGAGCTTTTTCTGCGTGGACTTATTTTTGCCATGGCTTTATCATTTGTAAAGTTTTTTCTCTTAACCTATTATAGTTTTCGAATAATTCATTCAAATTTGTTTGCATTTAAAATGCTTCTCTGCCTGTATTTCTGATGGATCTATTGTGTGAGCATGTACAAATATTTAAATATTAGAGTAGAGGGGTTCTGGGTGAAGGGATCTTTTGTTTTCCCCTGTGGTTTTTTTTGTTTTGTTTTGTTTTGTTTTTTGTTTTTTGTTTTTTTCCACTCTCCCATTGCTCATAAACCATCTGATGCAGGGGTTTGAGGGGGTGTTTGGAAATATCTTTACTGACATGCCTTCCAAACTTTGTTTTTCTTGCATTCTTTGCCTTCCTGACATGATTCATTAGTAGCAAAGCATCTTAATTAGAAAGTTATATGCTTTGGTTTTGAGCTTTTGGGGTTTTTTTTTCCTCTTTAGGTCTTATTCTTGTAATAAATCATCTGTTTAACTGCACCAAAGCGGCGCACTTTAGAAAAATATAGTCCACTGTCACATGCAAATTGCTTGTTTCCTAATGTACTAATGAACATAGAATTCATATTCCTCCAAAATTTCATAATTCATTAAATATATATTACATAAATATATTTCTCCATGTTATAATGAATACTGAGGAAGTTCCAAAATTATGGTTTCAGTTTGGGAGTTTGATAGTGGGAAATTTTTTCTTGTTCCTTTTGGCTCGAAACATTTATTGATAAGCATCATTTGCCTGCATCATTCAGAATGATAATATCATAGATGATCCATCCTTGAATCATATAGCAATAAAAGTATGGCCATAAGTCTTAGTCCAGAGAGACAATGTAAAGCATGAAAATTTAAGTCATTGCCAAAAATTTTCACAAAGATACTGTCAACTGTGTTGAAGCCATTGATGTCCTGTAATGAGGTTGAGACCCTTCATGATGACTCTGGGAGGTATATTATAGACTTTAACTTAAAGTATCTCTGGTCACATAATGGCAGATGTCTGTGTGGCTGAGTTTATGCATCACTTAGCTGACAGATAATGACAGCTTCAATACCTCTCATTAAGTTCATGAATGATAGATTTTCTTTTTCCCTCTGGATCATAATGACACTCATAGTTCTTTGTTTTTAGCTAAATTAATTGGGGAAAATGTCCATAATGAACCAAACTTGGGCCATGTTTTTCCAAAAGAAGGGTATTGAATAATAAGTGCAGCTCTGCTTATAGCAGGTTGGGCTTGCCTGACCCTGTTGCTACTTGAAAAGATGACCATTAATGTTCGTTGGTCTCTAGTACACTGTCTGCTTATGCATAGCATCTTTGAAAGATTGGGTAGAGAGATAGGATAGGACCAAAGAGGTGAAGAAAGAGCTTGAAAGAAATGGTTTGGCCAGGAGAAATCTTTCTTTTTCATCATTCTGTACTCTTGGCTGAAATTTTGATAGCTTGTCAGACATAGTCCCAAGACTTGGAACTTTGCTACTAACTGTAAAAGATAAAAGGGATTTGCAAAGATACTTGAGTACCTGATCATTCCTAGTAATGTGTACCTTATCAACACCATTTAGTTGTCTTATAAAATCCTTTTGAGCTAAGATCTATACTGACCTTAAATTTTTAGAGGTTGTTGTTGTTGTTGTTGTAATCATTTAACTAAAAAAAAAAAATATGTTCTAGTCTCCACTGTGTGCCAGACTCTGAAAATATAAGCATGAACAAAGTCCATACAGCAAAGGGTGGACATCCTAGTAGGGGAGATAAATAACAAAGAAAAAAGCAAATATACCCAATGGTCAGTGATTTGAAGAACAGTGAAACAAGTTAGAAAAATAGAGACTAACCTGGAAGAGGAAAATTGTTTTAGACAGGGTGTTGAAAGAAAGGCTAAGTAGAGACCAGAATGACTAAGCAGGTGCACATACATGGGAAAGCTAAATGTCAGGCAGAGGACGTCACCCATGTGAAAGTAGCGGGGTGGAGGTGAGCGTTACATATGCCAGGTATAACAAAAAGAAGTCTGGCTAGAGCAAATTGAGACAAAGAAATGGAAAATACGAGTGGAGAGAGAGCCAGGGAAGGGCTCGAGGTCTTACAAGCCATGGGGGCCTGGTTTGTTTTGTTTTGTTTTGGGGGACTGTTAGTTTTGGAATAAGAAGGAAAGCCATGAGATGGTTTCTACATGCAGGGAAGTGTCCTTTAGAAAGGCCACTGTGACTGCTATCTAGGGAACGGATAGCAGGAGAGCACTGAGAGAAGCAATCATTTAGGCGGTTGTTTCAGGGATCTGTCAGGAGATACTAGTACTTTTTTTTAAAGATCCACGAGATTTTATATGTATCCAGTCTAGAGAAACACTGATTTAAATTTAAGAGAGAAGAACTTGAGTGATTGGTATTTCTTTCTTTAGAAAGAAAAACTTACTAAAAACATCTCAAGATATGTCAGTCCATACCACTGAAGTGCAATTTTCAATATATCTTGCTTGCATTGTTTCAAAAACCATTGGAGTGAGGTTTGTTATTGTTGATTTGGGTTGGTTTTAAATTTTGCGTCTGTTTTCTTTCTCACATCCTCTCTTTTCAATCTCTCTAATCCTTCTATTTTCTTCCTATAAAGGAACTGGGAAAATCATGGGAAGAAGTTCAATTGGAAGATGACCAGGAGCTGCTCGATCATCAGGAAGAGTAAGATTTGTCACTAATGCTAATTACAACACATCAATAGCAGGAGGAAAGTTAGTTTGATCTAAAATTATTGGAAAGGGCCTGGGATATAACACAGTGGCACAAGCACCTGCCTGGCAAGCACAAGGTCACAAGTTCAATTCCTGGTACCCCAAAACTAAAATAAAATAGAGTCATTGGAAAGAGAAAATAAAATCTCTTTGAACCATGCTTCATTTTCAAGTAATGTGGTAGGAACTTGAATTCAGAATAATTTTCACATAAAATTCATTAATGATACTATTATTCCAATAAAATTAAAGCTATTAAATGATCACACCATAATGCATAATTGAGAAAAGACACACTTTAAATGCGTTGCCTTCTCAGTGGCTCCTGCACCCTGAATGATGTCATCTGTGCACTCTTATTGGAGAAGAGAATATAACAGAAATGAATTTAGTCTTGTTCTCTCTTTAGCTCACGACTAATTTAAAACTTGCTTAACGACTTGCTTAAAATTAAAAGCTTGAGAAATACTCTTTTCAACCTGAAAGGATTCCCTGTTAGTCTTCTCTTTTTTATTCATAGCTGTCCAGCTTTTTTTCCTCTTCTAAGATTTTGGATTTATATTACTTTAGTAGTGAAGTAAAGTCCAAAGTTGAAGTTTCCATTTGTTAAGTCTCCTTGATGCAGAAAGATTCACACAAGGAGTCTTCTAAACTAGAATACAAAACATTATTTCCCATTAGGAAATACTAGTAATGACACAACAGCATATACACAATAATGGCCACGACCTGGAATGGATGGGCTGACGACTCCGCCTGGAGGAAAGGCTGAGGGAAAGTGTTCACTGTTTTCTGATGTGGAAGCTTTGGTGTCAGTTGGGTTAGGCTGATCTTCAAATGCATGACAGTGGTGATGTCAGAACTTGCCAAGTGAAATGTGCCTCTGCTTGGATTTTAATGGGTAGTTCCTTGTCTCTACAACTCTTGGGAATGCCAGGATGTTGGGAATGTTTATTAAATAAATGCATGAAAATGAGGTGAAATGGCAAAAGAAATCCCATGTGTTTGTTTTCTCTGTTTACCACCAGATTTAACATTTGCCCTGTGTAAAATGATCACTGTTCCTCTCAGGAAAGGTACAGTTTGCCTTTTAGTGTACTAGTCGTCATGCAAAAACACATTCCGAACCTTGCACCTCACAGGGTGTGTGCTTACCAGTTGTGTGAGAAAATCACATCCCTTGATTTGTCTCCTTTACAAACTAAATGTAGTTATCTCAGGAAAGCACAGTAATGAAATAGCAACTTAGAAGGATGACAAATGTGAGAAAATGGGACAGCTATTTATATTAATTTCATTGTGGTGCTTTGAATTTAAAAGTTGTATCAGAAAATCATAATAATAATGTGACAGTCTCTCCCAGAATGTCAAAATTGAAAAAGAGAGGAATACCAAGTCACTATGTAGTACACTCTCAATGAAATGCATCTCTGAGTTTTCTGTTTTTTTTTTTAACCCAGTGACTGGTCTGATTGGGAAGAACATCCTGCCTCTGCTGTCTGTCTCTTTTGTGAAAAGCAAGCAGAAACAATTGAGAAACTATATGTTCACATGGAGGTGAGATACTTCTATTCATTTTCATTTTGTTTTATTCTGACGGGAAAGCTGATAAGCATTGCACCTTCATTTGCTTTTGTTTTGTCAATCATGATCTCAATCCTAAGAGTGTATCAGGTAAAGCAGAAGAGACAGGCCGTGTCTGTCACAGAGGACGAGAGAGGAGAGCAATTTATGTAGCACGATTGGCTGGGTGAACTGTTAGTGTGGGATTACACAGACCACTGATGCTCATCCGCCTTTGAGATGCTTATAAGGTCATTCTAGTTCAGAAGTTCAGATCTGTAGTCATAAGTAACAGTACTCAGATGTGACAAGTCTGTGTCTCTTCCAGTGCTTCCTGTACTGATGACTGGAAGAGCAGGAAGTAAGCTTACCATTTACAAAGACCCTGGGGAATATGGGTGGAGAGTGGACAGTATTTAAGGTGTTTCCACAGCCTCTTTAAGTACCAGCATTTAGACAAAAGAAATGTAAGAGCATTCCTAGTCCACTTTCCCTAGTGGTACACTTTTTATGTTACAGTAAAGCTAGTAGTAATTGTTAACCTTTATTCACCCCAGTGTACTTGCACACTCCCTGTATCTCTGGTCCACAGCTATATGCTGGGGTGGGGAAGCCAGCACCTAATAACCTATGACAGTCACAACTTAGGGACGGAGGGGTGAGTAGAACACAAAAATATTTTTGGATCATTCTGATCTTCTCTCCCTCCTTTCCTCCACTCTCTCCATTAGTAGTGAACTGGCTGTGCTTTCACTTACCTTCACTTCTGTTCATTCAGAGACATTGTTCTTAGTTCAGTAAAATAACTACCTGGAAGGTATTAGAAAGGCCATAGGCATTTGCTCTTATGATAGCAGAGAATCTGTTTGCCTGAAACACATTACCACTAACATATGTGTATAGTTTCAGTGTTCTATGTTCAAATTAAACTCATAATATCCTAATGTCTCTGAACAGAAAAAAAACCTTAGTACTAAAGCTGTGTAGGAATTCCCCTCTGCATGTTTGATAGGTGTCTTTAACCTCTCATCGGTCACTTTCAGTGATAATTCAAGACCATCATGCATTCCTGACGATCCTGCACAGGGTAGTGCTGCACTGAATGACTTCACAGTGAATGTGATGGTCTTTCTCTTCCATGCACTTGTAAGTTAGATCATTTGCACAGACAGCTGAAGGAAGGGAACAGAGCAGAATAAAACCTCTGCATTGTGAAAACTGAAAGAAAGTGTAGTTTATGGAAAGATTGGAGAAACTTGAAAGTTTAAGCAGCATATTTGCATAAAATGAAAAACTGAACGTGTAAAATTACCAATCTGCTGTGCAGCAAAAAACCTACGTCCATAATTTCAGTCCAGTTGTATAGCACAGTAGAGCTATATCTTCCCTACATGCCTTTATCAGACTACATATTTCAAGTATAGTAAACTATAAAAACTGCAGCTATAAGCAGCAAGTAAGTAAAATGTTTTAAGTGATTGACATGACTTGTGTGGACTGTGTGTTAGAAAGCAGTTGAGAATGGAAGGAAGTAGTTAGAAAACTTCAAAAGCAGAAGATGATGAACTCAGACTGAGTTTCTGAAGTACTCAAATTCCTACAAATAGGAGGAGGCCGTTTAGAACTTCAGCCTGGAAGATTAAATAATTCATGCGCTTACAAATGTATTCAGTCCTTTTATTTATTTATTTTTTATTTTATTTTTTTTAGGATGCACATGAATTTGATCTCCCCAAAATAAAGTCAGAACTTGGTACGTTTGATTCAGAAACTGTTTCCATGATGGGGCTTTTTTTTTTTTTTTTTTAATCAACTGTTCTGTAAATGACGCCTGTGTTCAATAGCTGTGATTAGAGAGGACACAGCCAAAATGTGTCTCTGTACAGATGGTCTTAACAGAACTCTCTGAAGCAATGATTCTCAACCATTTGAATTGATATATTCAAATACTTTTTTACATAGTCCTCTCTTCCACTTCTGTATGAACATGAGTACTTTAAATAAATACAAGCTAATATCTGTCATAAAGTGAGGTTAACATAAGAATAGGTTCCTTTTTTAAGTCAGACTTGAGTTCATATTTCAGCCCCAGCATTTACAGGCTATGTGACTTTGGGCCTAAGGTCAGAATAATACATAGGGAGTGAATCAAGTTTATAAAAGACCTGCTACACTGCCTGTCAATTTAACTAGCATTATTGTAAATGTGCCCAACTGAATCATTTTCAGCAATGGTAGCATGAAAGAGTCAGGGACCTTGACAGAAAATTTCCTGACAGATCTCAGATAATTTTGTAAAAGCTTCTCACATTTCAGGTCAGTCACTACTTTCATAGCCTCGGATATATTGTTTCGCTTTACTGCTACAGACATGTGTATTTATACATTGTGTATGTAATTAGCCTAGTAGTCAAGAGTAAGGGCTCCAGAGTCAATAGCTTGATATCAGATCCTGACTGTTCCACTTACTAGCTGTAAAACTGTGGACAGTTTCCAGATATCTAGTGTGCATAAGGTAATGCTAATTATCTGACACAGTTTGTAAACATTAAGTATATTAATATGTATATATCAGCTTTTCCATTGCTGGGTACAGTGCCCACAACTTACAAGACAGGTTCAGTTTGGCTCAGTTTTAAGGAGATTCAGTCCACAGTCAGCTGATTCCAAGGTAGATACAACATGGTAGAAGGATGTGATGGATTAAAGATGCTTAGTTCATGGCAGCTGAGAACGAGAACAGGAGAACAGTACTAGAGAGGAGGAGGTGAGGGACCAGATATAGCACCCAAGGTCACGCCTTCATGACCCACCCAAACCACCCCAGAATTGTACTCCGCCAGTTCCCTGGAAAGAGTCCAAGTCAATCAAGTTGACACAGTCAAGCTTAACCACCCACTCCTTGTCAACTTGATACTGAAACACATCTTAAACCATATTTAACCTCTGATAAACACAAAGGCTTCACGATGCTGCACAAATAGACTATCATTGAGTTATACCTCCAGGGTTTTTTTAGTTGAGTTGAAGACTGAACCCAAGGCCTTTGCACTAAGCTAGATTTTCAGATACTTTTTTAAAAATTTACTTAGACAGGGTCTCCCTAAATTGCTAAATTGCCCAGGTTAGGCCCAAACTTGCCATCTTTCTACCACACCCTGCAAGAGTGCTGGGATTACATTTGCATACACCATGCCCTTTTTGTTTTTATTTTAAGAAAGGCCGTAAGTTGCGCAACTGATCTCAAACTCATGGTTCTCCACACTTAGTCTCCCTGCTAGCTCGGATTATAGGCAGGTGCTATTACAATTTCTAAAAGGTGATATTTATCTTAACCACTTGTCTAACCTGTATATTATCATTTTCAGGATTAAATTTCTATCAACAAGTGAAACTGGTCAATTTTATTCGGAGGCAGATTCACCAAGGTAGATGTTATGGCTGCTGTGTGAAGTTCAGTTCCAAAGCAGATTTAAGGTTTCACATGGAAGAAAATAAACACACTTCATTACTTCCTGAAAGAAAGATATGGGATCAACTGGAGTAAGTACTACTGAAGTAGATATAAACTTTAATTCTGTCTTCTTCTTTATCCCTTATTCAAAAATCTCATTAAAAGCAAAACAGTTTTAAAACGTTATTTTTTAAATACCCTCTTACAAGTAAAACCAATGATTTGTTACTTTTCTCATTGTTGAGACACAATACCTAACACGCACATGTTAAAGAAGGATAGGTTTGTTGTAGCACACAATTTGTAGAGGTTTCATTCCATAGTCAGCTGGCTCCAAGGCAGAGGAAAAACAGTCCCTGGCAAGGCAGCAGAAAGTAGCAATCAGTAAGTCTCCCTTCCCCTTTTATGCCATCCAGGCTGCAAGCCTGTCTGATGCTCATCTGTCACATCTTGGGGTGAGGGAGGTAACTGGACACAAAGCCCAAAGCCTTGCACATGTTCGTATGCTCTGCCACTGAATTACAGCCCCAGCCCCTCCTTCCTTATTTATTTAACCAAGCTAGCCTCAAATTCTGCCTCACCTTCCTACTAGCTGGGATTACAAGTGTGCACCTGGGTTTTATATCATTTTTAATGTTTGCCAAATAACCTATTATATGGATGTACCCCAATTTGTTGATGCTTAAGTTGTTTTTTTACCTTTTTCTATTATAAATAGTAACATAAATATCATATACATACTTTTTTGCACGCAATCTATTTAAACAGACTTTACATAATAAAGATTTGCATATTGCTAGAGCTTTTGATATATATATTACATATTAGTACTTTAAAAACAATGAAACAGAGCCAAGGATTTAGCTTAGCGAAATAAGTTGCCTGGCTGGCAAACATGAGGTCATGAATTTGATCCCCAGTAACAAAAAAAAAAAAAAACCAGTGAAACAGTTGGTCATCTTATCTGTACCTATTGAGGTGTTGTCAGACATCCATCTATCTTACCAATGTTACCCTTTTGGGTTGGTTCTCCTGTCATTTTTATGTTCCTACTGTACTGTGTATGGAACTTAGAACCTTCACACTGAACTACATCCCTGACCCATCATTATTTATTGTTTGGAATCAGGATCTTACTGAATCACTGGGCTCAAATTTATGATCCTTCTGCCTCAGCCTCCCAGCACACTTGGATTACCAATGTGCACTATCACACCCAGCTTCACATCTTTCTTGATAACCCTACTTGAAGCAACCCCTAAGAGGCTATGGAATATTCATTGCCCAAAGACTTCTCTACTCTCAGAGAATATTAAATCAGGCCACCCAGAACCCCAGCCAGAAAGCTCTAGCTCTCCTTCTTCAAAATTTCTCAGACTTTTGAGAGCCAAGATACCTGGGTTGAACTGTTGCCTAAATTGGGTTGCTATTCCTAAATTGTTCTTTTAGAGATAACAGGTGAAGAAACTTGTAATGGTTAATGGGTTATGAAACAAAACACAAAGAGAAACATGTTTGTTCTCATCAGGTATTTGAAGAATTTGTGTTTGAAACAGTATCTATTTGGAACTTTGTTAACTTAGAGGGGAGAACTAGGACTTCTGAGTAGAAATGGAAGGGATGCCATATTTAGCTTCCTATGAAGGAGATGTTATCTAACAGCTAGAGCTCCCCAGAATTGAAGAAGGTGGCCTTTAAAGGTAAGTGAGTTTCTTATCTTGGAAGATACGAAGCAGAGGTTGAATGGCCATCTAGCAACACTAGCTCTCATAAGGCTGGTACCAGATAGTCAGCATCACAGTAAAAATAACTCAAGAGGTTGTTTCCGTACAACTTTCACAAAACTCTCCAAACTTAGGTAAGGAAACCTAGCAAAATTACAGTAATGTGTCCATTCAGGTACTTATAAATGTTCTGGCTCATTAGTTTGGTTATTCAGTGTGTCTGTGCTTTATTTTCAGGTACTATTTTCCAACCTACGAAAATGACACACTCTTGTGTACACTGTCTGACAGTGAAAGTGACCTGACAGCTCAGGAACATAATGAACATGTCCCCATCATCAGTGAAGACACATCTAAACTGCAGGCTTTGAAACAAAGCAGTATTTTGAACCAGTTGCTACTTCAAGAGTCCTTGAAAAACTAGAAGAAACTGAAGAAGTGACTTCTCATGATTTTCTGAGCTAGACACAGAAGAACAGTTTAAATCTTAGTATCAGCAAAGGATTAGTCCTTAGTGAATAAAACTGTGTAAGAAGCCACAAAAGAAAAGAAAACTGGTTAAAGATCTGGATACAAATTGAACACTATTTTCACACAAGAACCAGCCAACCTGGCATGGTAGTGCATGACTGTGATCCCAGCATTTGGGAGGCTGAGGCAGGAGGTTTGCTGCGAGTTGAGGACCAGACTTGGCTACAAGGTGAGCTCAAGGCCAGCCTGAACTCCATAGCGAGACCCTGTCTCAAAAAGACAAAAAAAAAAAAAAAAAAAAAAAAGAATCAGCCACAAACTTGTAATACCACACAGCAATCGAGAGGCTAAGAACTGTGAGTTCAAGAGTCTGGGCTCCAAACTGAGTTCAAGGCCAGCCTGATAAGCAGAGTGAGACTCTGTTTCTAAAAGGAAAAAAAAAGGAAATTAAAGTTCATATCTACTAAAGTAGATACAAACTTTAATTCTGTGTCTTCTTTTATCCTTTATTCAAAAATCTCATTAAAAGCAAAACATTTTTAAAACGTATTTTTAAAATACCCTCTTACAGGTAAAACCAAGGGTTTGTTACTTTTCTCATTGTTGAGACACAATACCCAACACCCACAAGTTAAAAGAGGATGGGTTTGTTGTAGCTCACAATTTATAGAGGTTTCATTCCATAGTCAGCTGGCTCCAAAGCAAAGTGGCATGGCAGAGGGACAAGGAGTGGGCATAGTGATGCATGCTTGTAGTCTCAATACTTAGAAGGCCAAAGCAGAAAGATCACCAGAGTTGAAGACCACCTTGGGCTACATATTGAGTTCAGGGCCAGCCTGAACTGTATAATGAACCCCATCTTTTAAAAAAATCTAAACCAATAAACTGATTATATTTTCATTATTGCTTTCTCTCTGGAGTTACCAAATGTTCTAGAAATGGATGTAAAGGTAATAACACTTTTACCTGCAGTCTGTATCTCACTAATGAGTACCATTCCTATAAAATGTAACCACAGGGCCAAGGATTTAGCTCAGCAGATTTAAGTGCCTGCCTTGAAAGTGTGAGGTTGTAAATTCGATTCCCAGTACCATAAAGAAAAATAAAGTAAAATGTAACCGCAATGCATGATGACACCTAACAAAATTAATAGTAATTTGCTAGTATCATGTATTCCCCAGTTGTCTCAAAAATGTCTTTTTACAATTTATCCATTACAGCACAAATATTGTTTGTGAAGAGAATTCATCTGTTTTTTAGATTTCGGGATATAATGAAGAAATATCAGTCAAATTCAAGTAGAGGGACAGTCTACAAAATAATTTACCTTTACTCTTCAAAAGTGTTATGGTCATAAAAAATACAGACTAGAATCTATTAATGAGGGCTAAACAAAGCACAGTGGATAGATTGAACACTTGACTGTGAGAAAAGTATGTTCCTTCTGCTTCCTCAGGCATTAGTGGGTGAAGCCAGGGTTCTAACTCCACGGTAGAGAGTGTATGTGCCTGGCACTGCCGAGGCTTTGGGTTTGACTGTCAGCCCTAAAGAAAAAGACAAAGTGGAAGCGCTGACAGAAGTTGAATAAGTCTGTAGTAGATGTTATGGTATTGTATCAAACTGTGGTTGTATATGAGAATGTCCTTGTTTTTAGGAAAGACATACTGAAATGTTTGTGGCTAGAGGAACAAAGTTCACTGCCTATCCAAAGACTAACCTGGATATATAAAGAGAGTGGTAAGACATTAGTGAGTAAAGTGTTTGTGGAATTCTTAGTAGTGTGGCAACTTTTCTGTCAGAAACGAAAAGATTTTCAAAATGAAAAGACTTTCAGAATGTCCTTTTATAGTTGGTTGAATTAAGTTCCAGGAGAGATCTGTAGATTGCATTTGATTGTTGTGGTCCTGAAAGATCTCATCTACAGCAGTTCACATGCCACTTACTTATTAAGGAAATTATCCTTTGTCTTTCTGAATTTTTATAATTGAACCTTATATCATTTAACATGTTCTTGCTTTACCAGTTTTTCCTGCAAAAACTGGTCAATTTAGAAGCTTCATTAAATCTGGCCACAAACTTTTTGTTTTGCAGCTACACACAGTGGTATATATACCTGGGATCCCAGCACTCAGGAGGCCGAGGAAAGAGGATCATAAGTGCAGGGTCAGCCTAGACTACACAGTGAGTTCAGGGCCAGGCAGCATTGCATGGTGAAACTTCTCCAAAAAAATGTTTTTTGCAAGAATGCTTTTGTGTGCTTCCTGTTGTATTGTATCAGGGACATAACATCTGATGCACTGCTTTTGGAGTTGACAGAATCGTTCAGTGCATTGGGGTGCAGTGACACGCACCTGTAGTCAGGATACTCAGAAGGCTGGAGCAAGTGGTTTGGGCCCAAGTTTGAAGCCAGCCTGGGCTACATAGCAAGACCCCATATAAAAAAAAATAAAATTAAAATAAAAGAGGAAGAAATGCTCATTGCATCAGCTGTTGTCATTGTCCATCATTGTAAAAACTGGTAACTATTGTTTAATCTGTTATTTTTTTAAAGGATGTAAAATGATGGTTTTTGAAATTCTTACAGGTTTTTTATACATTGTATGTGCTACACTGCTCTAAAATCTGAGGTTCCAGTTTTCAGTATATTAGAACTAATCTTGGAATCACATGACCTCTCCCCAGGTTCATAATAAATGGTAAATGTGTTTTTAGTCCCTCCAGGTGTTGCTAGATTGAACAGATTTGTAAATCACATCGGCTCTGTCTGTGGCTTTAGATTTTCAGGTCTCTAGTACTGCAGACACCCATGGCAAGCTTTTCTTGAAAACCAGTCAAGGAAATGAGTCCCTTTATTATAATGAATGCCTAACTAAAACTCAGTTAAACTGTTTTAAAGCGAAAGGTTTAAAAGGTAATGTCCTGTACCTAGAACAGTCTCTAACGATTAGATTTGTTCAGGAAATCAGGAATATCAGTGTTTTCTCCACTGTTCCTTCCTTCGTCTAGAAATAGGAGCAGTGGAAGAATGTAACAAAGTAAACCAAAATAACCAGCTGGAGAAAGATTTTAGAGAGAAAAATGACACCTTACAAAATGAGATTCTAAAGGAAGAATGAAATTGAGGGACAGACCAGTGAAAGGGAAAATGTGGTGTACTTGCAGCTTTACTCATATAAGAGTGATTATTTTGAGTGTGTAGATGTCCAGGGATTTATTTTAGGACAGAAAAGGCAATTTGGACCAAATGGAATTCAGTAAGAATAAAAGCAAATTATCAGCAAAAGTTTAAACTTGCTCTCCCAGAGATTAAGACTGTGGGCCATGCTGCCAAACTACTGCGAGACTCCTCAGTGAGAACCACAGTTCACATGTCCTTGCAGGCTGGGACAGAGACACCAAGTGTTCTTTGACAGTCTGGCTGATCTGAGAGGGAACAGTTAATCAAAAGGAAGTAAACTGCCTAAGGAATTATTCAGTGAGTTTCCAGATATCACTCAAATTATAGATAACAACATGAGTGCTACTTGAACCCTAAGAAATATGCCCAAGAAATTTTTAGAATTAAGACTTGAAAATAATAAGAAAAGTAAAATATAGCAAGACAATCGGGACAGGGATAAAATAGATCTAAGCCTGGATTAAGTGTTAGATTCAATCAAAATACATGCAGGTTAGGATTACCTAACTCAGAAAAGCGGAAGTGGCTGTGAATGTTTTGCACAGTGCTTGATTTTGTTCCCACCCAAACCTAGTGACATGTTTAATGATGGAAGGCCCCATTTAGATAAGACCTAGAACAAAGTGTTATGCTTGGGCCTGAAAATAAAATGGTTAAATAAATAAAATCCTCCAAGCAGCATCAGGCTCATACATGTTAAGGAAGAAAAGGGATCAATGTTGAAACTCCTATTGTCCTGTGACAAATAGCCATTCCTTCATAGAAAGTGTGGAAGGAAGTCAAGCACTGGGATATATCTACTATGCTGAAAAAAGGCAGGAAAGAGGACATGTAGACCAGAGCAAGAGAAGTGACATGCTGAGGAAGGGCTTGGTAGCAGCAGCTGCCCTCACCATATCCCAGTGCAAAGAGTCTGTAGCCCGTTTGTCATGGGTACTATTCATTCTCCAGTAACGATGGATAAAAAGGTTAGATGGTGTATGGCTGCCTAGATGAAGACTGCATTCCCCAGCCTATCACAGTTCAGTGATGAAGACCACATTGAGGTGGCCTGAGCAGGCTTTAGAGTTAAGTCAGTTGGCTGTCTGTACTGACTTAAAAGTCTGTCCCAGGGCTAAGTGACTTGCCCAAGGAGCCAGCCTCTGGCACGCAGAAACAGAGCTCTCCATGCCAACAGTCACAGCTAATGTGCTGTGACACTGATTTCTCTAAGGATAAAATAACACCATAGCTCAGGGCACTAAATCTCACTCCAAATTCCAGGATAATAACAATCAACCTTAGAGATTAAATAGATCTCTCATTAAGCAAAGATTTACTCTTGGAATGTCCTTGTTGCATTGTCACAAGGCTCCCTCACTTTCGGGCCTTGTGCCTCAGCTATTCCCTGCACTTTGCCTGATTCAATATACGCAATAAATAATAGCTCAGAGAAGTCAGGGTTGTAGCCACATGAGCTCCAACCTTCCTGGACCCACGTGTACCATACTGCTACTTTCATCTGTTGTCTTTTATCCTTCACCATACACTCACCCAGAGGATGAGAGACTGGCCAGCTCAGTTCAGAATACTCAGGTGTCTATGGCAAATGAGATGGAAGCAGGAAGTCTGTGGCAGCTTTAAAGCGTCTTCTTTAGGATACGGGACCCAGGCATCCCTTGCCTCACTCTTTGTCTCATCCTGCCTCTTGTTTCCTAGGATGGGTCTATCCATGTAGGAAACAAGGAAATGAAAGCCATGCGTGGCGGGGCAACAAACCCTGAAGCTGGAAGGCTGCTCTGGCCCTGGAATGCTGGCCTAGACATTCATGAGAAAGGAAAGCCTTACCTTCCCACTGTTATATTGGTTTTTTTGTTATTCATAATTTAACTTAATCCTACAGATTCAAGCTTCAGAAACACAGAACCTGCTGTAGATGTTTTTAGCTGAAACAAATGAGGGAATGAAAGGGAAGTTACCCTTAGAAAACAGACTTCCCAAACTGGAGTGACTATCCACTTTGTGCTGCTGTAACAATACCAATCTGAATAATTTATAGTAAATATATTTGGCTCATGTCCTGGAATCCAACACTGAGAAGCCACATCTGGTACTTGGTTCCTACATTATAACATGATAGAAAAGGCTACAAATGACAACAGAGACAAAGCCAAACTCCTCCTGTCAAGAACCCACTTCCAAGATAACCACTTCTGTAACCCTCTTCCCTAGTAACAGCATCAATCCATTCATGAGGCTGTGAAGGTCTCACTACTCAACTTGCATTGTGGATCATCTTGAACCCAGGAATTTTGGAGAGCCCATTTAAGTCATAGCATTAAACAATCCCACAAAGGAAGGCAATAACCTTTCAAGAAGTTAAGTTACTCAAGGCATTATGGGATGGGTTCCCATATATCCCTCAAATTATGGACAAAAATATAAGTGCCACATGTTCCCAGAAAAAGCATCCCTAAGAAATTTCTACAGTTAAATCTCAAACTAGAACTTAATAGAAGGGACAGGACAGACGTACATCAGCAGCTCCAGCAAGCTTCTGGCCTTTGACTCTAGACTGGAGCTGCATCCTTGATCTCTCTTCTCTAGCTTCCATCTCTGCTGAGAAGTTGCTAGATTCTTGTGCCTCTGATCCCAGAGACAGCCATTGTGGATTCCCATCTCTGATCATACACCTCTGTAATACACGCCCTTGTATAATTACATATTTCTGATATTCTGTGTTTCCAGAGAATCCTAATACAAGGATACACTAATGAAGGTGAGAACGACATTGTACTCAGATTGTTGTCCTGTGAAGATGGTTGACTTTGAGCTTAATACTGGAGCACACTGAGCAAAGAGCAAAAATGAGCAACAATGTTTCGAAAGGACACGCCTCGTTTCCCAACATCTTGTTTCCATGGCAAAGGGAAATATATAGCACATTTGGTTTCTCTCTGCTGGAAGGGAGATGGATGAATTCTCTGACTGAAAATTGAGAAACCAGGAACTAGGCCTCCGTGCCTCAGCTTCTTCCTCATTCTCTTTGGGGGCTGCCTGTGTGCGGGGTGAACACACCCCTTTCTGCTCCTTTATTCTGCAAGTTGTAAAGCTGCAGGCTTTGTCCACAAGTTGAAAGCCAGAAGTTGCCCAGCACTATCTGTCACTGCCTAAAAGTTCATTTGCCCACAGCTGCAAGCCATTGTCTCCAATGTCATCTTCATTAGCAATAAAGGTAGTATCTCATCTCTCCTTGACCATTTATCTGTTAGCCCACCTAGAAGGTATCCAGCCAATCAAGGAAGGACTATATGGCAAAGATTGCTAGAAAATCAGTGCTTAGGTATAACCACTGCACATACTGTCCAGTCAGTCAAGAAGTAAATTAGATTTCACTCCCTGTGACACTAAGATTAGGCAATATAGGCAGAGGAACAATGGCCAGAATATCACTAGTGAACTAGCTGGATTCAGAACTGGAGTCTTACATTGAGTTCCACCAGAAGCAGACCTTATAACAAGAATTACAGCATAGTTCATTTACTTAGGAGGTAAACTAAGAAATACCAGTTCACTGAAAAGGTAAAATGGAATACACAATAATGAAGTTACCCATGTCTGAGCTAGGACTCAACCTTACAGCAGTTGTCAAAAAAACTGCACAGAGCACTTTGTAAGTTGCCTGCCCTGCTCCCAACCCACTACCAAAAAGCTAGGATTTGTATTTATCCACCAGCTTCACTGGTCACAGGATGAGGGCTATTCTCATGAGTATCAATTTCTGCCATATGCAGTCTGTCTTGCACATTGGCCTAGCAAGCCTGGAGCCTCAAGAAGGCCCTCATAAATAGTGAGGAAACTGTAGTGCAAAAACAATAAATGTGGTCCGGGAATGACACTACTACAACTCTAGCTGTGTGGCCACAAAAGTTTAGTGACTCATCTTTTTCATTTATTCCCTCACTTGACACTATAAACACAATATTTCGAGGTATCTAGGCAGGAATTTTTATTCCCATCAGGATAAAAAGGATAAGAAAACCAAAGGGGGTAGGGCAGGGGTGGAAAGCACAAAGAAATATCCACAAATAATAATGAGAATTTACAGTGAGACAAAGCCAAGCCCTGAACTTTTTAAGTGAATGGACTAAAAGCAATTTTTTGAACAGATGAAGAATTTGAAATCAGATTAAGAATGAATCTTTTAATGTAAGAGCTTTGTGGAATAAATATGCAGAATTTGCACACCCAGGCCACTTCTCCCAAGGCATCAAATTACAGCTATTGTTTGCTGAGTCTGCAAAAATAGCCACCTAATATCCCAGAAGCTTAATAGCAACTCTTTCAGTAGCTTTAGATGATGGATAACTAGAAGATTAAACCAGGGGCAGCAGTTGAACTCTTTTGCCTGTAATTGGTATTTTGAAAAGCTAAACATGCTCAATTTCTGATCATAGCAATTTGCTAGATTGAATGGCATAGCAAGACTGTTAATTCAAACTGAAAACGTTCCACAGTAGTTTCACAGTGTTCTAAGAATCAAGTGAGCTATTTCCTTTTGGATTATAAAATTAGACTAGAGAACATGGCAGATAGATAGCAGCAGCTATAGAGGCTCTCTGAGATACTCCACTTAGAATCCAAGAATGGTGCAGTGCAAGGATTCCTAAGCAAGGGGAGATATACCCTGCCGACCCAGGAACAAACTAAGTTGAGAGAAACCAACTGGAAATGCAAGTCTGATGCTATAACTGGAACAGATAAAATCTCAGCACGGAAGCTAGAACCCACGCCACTGCTGCAATTTGAATTTCCTGCTGCCGCTGCTGCGTCCAAATCAGCACGGCAGGGAGAGAGACATGCAAAAACTCTGAGAGTGGGAATCGGCAAACGGAGCTGAGAGCGGAACTGGCAGGCAGCTCTGCATCAACTGCAGTGAGTGAGCGGAACGGGGACCCTTCCATAGAGTAAGAGGCTTCAGCAAAGGACATACTGGGACTGGGCAGACTTGCCGGAACAAGACGCTGCAGTGACTTTAGTCGCATATTCCCCTCTCAAGCAGGATTGGTGGGGAGTGTCTGGCCTGATGATGCCACTAAAACCCAGTAGGCTAGCCCAAACCAGGTCCCAGTGCCTGGAGGAGCACCCTAGCAGTGAAGCCTTCAGGAGGTTGACCTGGAGGGGTGGGCCCAGCAAGGCTGCCCAGGTCTGTGTCTCCCTAGTACACCGCAGTGGGCGGGAACAGCTAGCCAGCACAATTCAACTGTAACAGACAAAGAGAAAAAAAAAAAAAAAAAACTGGGCCTCCTATATTTGCTTGTATGGAAGGAACAAAAAGTAGGGGAAGACAAAGCAACAAGAAAGGGTCGTCAGTCCCCAATCCTGAGAACACTGATCAGGAAAGGTGAATGCAAAGGAGAATGAGGACAAAAAACATACAGTATCAGACACGGCACCAATAGACATAAACCAATATCTCTGGAGCCTCATAGATGAGTTCAAAAGAGAAGTATTTAACAAAATAAAGATATAAGTAGAGTAGTTAGAGAAATGCTAAGCACTGCCCAAGAAAAAACAGATGGTGGAATGGAAGAACAGAAAAAAAGGGGAGAATTGTTTGATGGAGAAAATAGAGAAAACATAGAATACATGAAGCAGGTTCAAAGAGATTACCAGGAAACTAAAAACTATCGAAAGCTGGCATAACCGCTTGAAAGAAACTAAAGATAGATTATCTGAATTGGAGGGCAGATTTGAAACATGGGAACGTGAAATGAAAAACTTCTTAAAAATAACAAAGAAACAAACAGCAATAATACAAAGGCTAGAAGATGATAGGAGGATCTATAACTTAAGAATTAAGAACATGAAAGAAGAAGTAGGGACACAAACAAATGGACTACAAAAGCTATTCACAGAAATAATCCAAGAGAATTTCCCTAATTTAGCAAAAGGTAAAGATACTCAGATGTATGAGGCATACCGGACCCCAGCCGCCTACCACCCAAACAGAGCTATACCCAGGCATATAATAATCAAATTTCCAGAAATTCAATATAAGAATATTAAAAGCCATCAGAGACAAGAAACAGATCACTTACAAGGGAACACCCATCAGAATTACAGCAGACTTCTTGGCACAAACCATCAAATCATGAAGAGCGTGGGAGGAAATAATTCAAGCTTTGAAAGATAATAACCTCCAGCCAAGATTGATATATCCTGCACAACTGTCCCCGGGAATTGATGGAAAAACAAGGTGCTTCCAGGATAAAGAGGAACTAGGGGAATTTGCAACCACCAATTCAACTCTACAGAGAATATTGCAGGATATTCTAAAAAAGGAAAATACTAAGATTCCAGAAACAGTAGCAGAGAGGCCACAATGAATGGAGCAAAAAGCAAAATGAAGAAGACAAACTGACAACAAGCGACAGAAAAAGATCTCAACAGAAATGAGGCAGAAAAGATTGGATGGTAGGAACAGCTATTTTGGACAAAACAAGACATTATAATAGCTAGTGCTGATTTAGTATCATCTTGTTTTGAAGTCCCATCAAGCTTTTATTCTTCTGTCTCCATGGGTCTTAACAGGTTGTATCTTATTGGATTTTATTATATGTGATAATATAAGCAAAAATGTTTATAGACAAGGAGATTATACAGAAACCATTGTTCATTTTCTGATAGTTCTAAATACCCTGTAATACTGTCATTCTCTTGAATGGTTTTACATTGTCTTGATATGTTTGGTGCTACAGTATACAAAGTTATACTCAAAGATTTCAAGGAAAGAGACACTATGGTAACTACTTTTATGCCAGGATATCTTGTGGTGAAACACTATTTTGCTTATGTTTTGACCTGTGCTGTTTTGTTGTTATGCCCTCTTGCTTATGTTTTGACCTGTGCTGTTTTGTTGTTATGCCCTCTTTTATCTCAATCTCCTTTTTTAATTATTTATTAATTATTATTTATTTTTATCTTTTTAATTAAGGGAAAAATAAAAAATAGGATACATTATACTAACCCACTTTGATTTCCTATTAACTTCATTTGAAACCTTGTATTGCCCCCGCCATCTTGTTTTGACTGATTTTCCCCTATTCTGCTTTGCTTGATAGTACCAAGTTCAAAAGTATAGGCAACAACTGTGAAGACAATAAGATTCATTATGATGCCCATTCTGGTTGACTATTATCTTCTTTTAAAGTCCTGTAATGTCTTCAATGTTTTGGTTTTATTGTTTACTGTTTTGTTCAATTTTATTATAACTAATGATATAGGCAATTCTTTTTAAGATAGCAAGAGGCAGTATGGTAACCATTGTTGATCACCTAGTATTTTGTTTTTCCATTACCTATTATGTCCATCCTTTTGATTTGACTGACTCTGTTCTGTTATGTCACATTTAGTTTTACTCTCTTCAATAAAAAGTGGTAAGAACTGTGGGAGTAATAAAACCCAAAATGTGTAATTGTCATTGTACAAAAGAAAGTGCTCTGAAGGATATAACTGCATATATATTTAAGTGTGTAAGATAGATAACCATATTACTGAGTTTTGTTGGATCATTGAACAGAACTGTTTGCAGTCTCACTCTTTGACGGTCCACTTTATATGCTTTAATTTTGTAACTTGAACAACTATTTCTAAGATAACAATATGTAATCTATTAACTAGTGATTTTCTACTGTTTATTCTTTCTGAAATTCTGTATAACTTTTACCCTTTTTCTGTTTTTTCTTTTTCTCCTTAAATAAAATTTTAAAAAATAAAATAAAATTAGACTACCAAAAAAATTGTTGAGGATATTCTCAATTAACTTGGATACCAGCTGAGATGTAAATCAAACTAAAAACTATAGGTTGTGATTTTGATGTTTCTTTATTTGGAAGTACTAAAACAAAATAATGTGCTGTGATACATTTAAAAAATAATCTTGTGACTTGAACAGAAAAGGAGTGGCTTAGTTACTTTTCTCTCCTTGCTGAGACAAAATACCTGATACCTAAAAGCAAGGAAGAAAAACATTTATTTAATTCACAGTTTATAGAAGTTTTAGCCGATTCCAGCTGGCTGCAAGGCAGGGTTGCATGGTGAGGGACAACAAATTCAAGGCAGCAGAAGACAGCAAAAGCAACAAGAACAAAGCGGGGAGGGGCAAGCCTCCCTTATAGTGTATGCAGTCTACATGCCCTAAGGCGGATACAGCACTCATACCCCCAATCCCAGCACTAGAAAATGAAACCATCACAAACTCTGGATTGAACTGCCTCCAGAAGGCCCGCCCCCATGCCCACATGGTTTTGTGGGGGAGGAGGGAATCAAGACACAACCATAACAAAAAAGAAAAAGGAAAAGTCAAAAACAAAATTATTAATCTCTTCCTGTCACCACAACCTACCCCACTACCTATATCATTGCTACAGGGAAAATCTGAATGCAGACCTACTCTCAAACAACACAACCATGCAATCTGGGACTTAGCCCAACTCTAGCTCCAAGGAGGGCAGAGTTCTAATTGGAGTTACAATTTCCCTTTCACTCTAGCAATTGACTTAGGGAGAGACTGTTACTAAACCTCAACTAAAAATGCATAGCAAGTCCCTAGTCACTGACTGGTCCAAATTGATCCAATCAACAGGGAAGTTGGGTTTTGTAAATTACTTGGATGAGCCAGAAGTGGTCTTTCCTTTTGAAAACTATCTTTTGTTACTATGTTGGATAGTAACAAAACTATCTTGCAGCACTAAGAGAAAATAAGCAAGGAGTTTCAGAGAGAATTTCTGAAAAAGACACAGAACCTCCATCTTTAAAGGCAACCCTCCAGGCTTTTTGGTTACTCAAGCCAATAAATCTGCTTTATTGTTTAGATAAAGCCTTGAAATAAGACTTCTAATACATGCAGTCAAAGCTTCCTAGCAAACACCAATGGCTTCCCGGTGGACACACAACCAACTCTAAACTTCTTACATGACCATAGGTCCCCAACTTTGTCCTATAACATCTTCCTGAGTGCCTCTTCACCAGGCACCCAACCTTTTCTGTTCTTTAAATATGAAACCTCCCTAGGTTTTTTTTTTTTAATTTAAAAAAATGTTACGTAAAAACATACACCACGAAAAATTTGCCATTTGGACCACTTTAGAAGGTATAATTCAGTGATGTAAATTAAGTTCCCAATGTTGTACAGCTGTTAATCACTATTCATTTATTGAACATTTTCATTAACCTAAACAGAAACTTTGTGAACATTAGGTGACAACTAGCCATTTTCCTAACTTCTGTTTACTGAGGAATTTTTTTAAAGGAAGTGTATTAGTCACTTCCTTTATTGCTGGCACAAAATACCTGACATTAGCACCTGAAAGGAGCAGACAAGTATTTTGGTGCATGTTTCTGGTCCACAGCTGGCTGGCTCCACAGCAGGCAGCTGAGGTGGCAGGGCTGGTGGAGGAAAGCTGCCCATGTCATGTTGGCCAGGAAGCAGAGACAGCAGGGAGGAGGCAGGCAGGGAGATGCACCTTCCCAGGAGCCGGCAAAAGCGAGAATGGCTAGCTGTCACCTAATGTTCACAAAAAAATGTTTTAATTAAAAAACTAGTTACTTTGGTGACTGTGAAGAAGAGGTGACAGCCCAAGCCAACCAAGAAGGCTGGCACCTTAGTCTGGTCAGAAGAGGATGAGAACTTCAAGTAGAGCCATGAAGAAAAGATTTGGGTGTAGAATGGCTGGAACTGAAAGAATCCGGTTTTGGAAATGCTGGGTCTGAGGCTCGTCGTGAATCCAGCCCCACTCCTTCCTTCAGGACTGAGGCACTTGTTCCCAGAGTAGCCTGGCTATAGGTAGATAAGGCCCACAGCTAGGTCCCTTGCTGTGTGCTTGACTGAATGGAGCTAGATGGGATCACGGAAACTTGGGAAGAAGTGGTCAGCAGGGATAGGAAGTGATGGATAGGGAAAGCAATCACAATATTGCACGGATTTGGCAGCATAGAGCTCAGCAGGGATGTTAGCAGGATGAATTTACGGAGAGAGGCAAGGCCCAAGTTGCAGGGAAATAAGAGGCCACGAAAAAAGTAACAAGAAGACAAGTGGTGCCACACACCTGTAATCCCATCACTGGGGAGGCTGAGACAAGAGGATCACTGCAAGTTCAAGGCCAGCCTGGGCTACATAGTGAACTCAAGCCCAGCCTGAACTACACAGAAAGACAATGTCTGGAAAAAAGAAAAAAGGCAAAAAGGACTTGCTGGACCCGCATCTTGAAGCCTAGAAATTTGGAAATGGGAAGACCAGTTAGGCAAGAAACATGATGTGAATAAGGAATCAAGCTGGGGAAATCCTCCAGTTTGACTGGAGCTGTAGGGATGCCTGGAGAAATGGTGTTGCCCAGGCAGGTCTGCACTAAATGACAGCCTGCCTGATTATGTGCGTGCTGTCTCATACAGGGCCTGAGTTGCCCTGGTTTCAGAGTACTACTGTCTAGTGGGAACTGGGCCCTCTCTCCCCAGAGTGAAGCGGACCATTCACACCTGATGGGTGTTTCACCAGGATCCTGTGTAATTCCCTGATTCTCTGAGTTCCACTAATTTTGTTTGTATAAATTTTGCAGGAAGGATTCAATATGACTGTCAAACTGTGTCCACTGTACCTCCTGCCAGGCTCAGTTTTCTTCTGTGACCATTGTTTTCATCAAATCAATTTTCCTGGATATGTATTTCTAGTTAAACTCTGTCCAGACCATTTGACCTTTGTTTTTCAATCTCTAGCCAATTGTTCAGTGTGAAATTATAACTGCCATCACTTTTCTTTTAGGAGATTATTATTTCTAGTAAAATTTATTATGACTAAGGGGAAAAATTCTTCATAAAAATCCATAGGTGAGGGGCTGAGGCTTTTAGCTCAGCAGCCTAAGTGCCTTGCAAACACGTAGTCGTGAGTTTGATCCCTGGTACTGATAAAAAAAAAAATCCATTGGTGAGGGTTTGGCAGTTAAGTGGTGTCCTGTCTGGATATGCCATGAAGTGGCAGGCCACAGGACCACTGACTGATAGTTTGGTGACAAATGGATAAACATAAGCTTTGTGGCTCCTTTTTCTACTGAAGTTCTAAAGCAATAATGAAATGAAATAGTTCTTTTTGTCTCTCCAAATTCCTACCTCACCATCGATAAGTGACTTAAACTCTGGAGCAAGCTTAATTTTTAGAATATCTTTCATCTCTGACAAAATGGAATTTTAAATCTTCCTTGAAACCAAGGCTGATGTCACCCAAGTTCTTGAAACACTTTGGCTGACAAAATTCTTTTTTTTAACCGGCACGTTCGCCCCAGACACCACAATAACCTGGGTCATTTGCACAAGCTACCACATCGTGCACACAATAATCACAGTCTGAAGAGGAGGTTAAACTCTGGAAAATTCCTTTCTTTTGAAAATTTGGAGTCTACAAAGATGACAAATTTGTATGGGTCAAAGATGATTAATTTGCAAAAAACAAAAAAAATTAGCTGGCACGCATACCAGGCCATGATGGGGACTGTCTTCAGTTAGGCTGCCATCAGAAACCTGCCTGTGTGGGCGGCAGAGCTGACGCGGGTGCCTTCGGTGGCCACCAGCTGGGGAATGAGTGTGACAGAGCAAGGCAGCGAGCGAGCTCTGCAGTGACTGAGAGGCCCTGTCCCAGGGAGCCTCTGCCCTCGGCAGCCCTGACAGTCCATCTCAAACCCGGGCCAAGTCAGGCTGCTGCTTTTCAAAAAAGAGTCAGAAATCTAGATTTTTTTAAAGGGAAATTTCCTGCTTTTAATTCCTCAGGACTAACTCTAGTTTGGTATTTGTCACATGGTAAAATTAAAAATTCAGATAGTCAATAATAAATTCAAATTGTCAATAAAAAAATAAAAATTTGGGAATTCTGTGGAAATTAGACCATTTTATTTGTGTGAGGTACTGGGATGAAACCTGAGGCCTTTACACTAAGCTACATTTCCAACCTTTATGTAATTTTTTTTTTTTTTTTTTTTTTTTTGAGACGGGGCCTCACCAAGTAGTTAAGTCATCCTGGCTGGACTCGATCTTGTGATCCTTCTGCTTCATCTCCCAGAGTACTGGAACTGCAGCCACCATGCCCAGTTTAGACCAGTATTCTTAAAAATGAGGTGGTGTGCATATACCAAGAGGAGTCTTTTTAAAGTCTTTACTTGTGTGCATTTTTAAAATATATAGTCCATTAGACTACCAGTATCTTCATATTAAATTATAACATAGAAAGAGCAGACACACAGTTGTCTTTTGGTATCCATGAGAGATTTGTTCCAGGACCCCTTAAGTTTATCAAAATCCATGTAGGTTATATTTGCCTAGTACCTACACATATCCTCCCATGTACTTTAAATAATCTCTAGATTACTTATAGTAATACAAAGTTAAAATTATTCAAGTAGTCATCAGCCTAAATTGTTTAGAGAATAATGACATGCAAAAGTGTTGGTACATATCAGTACAGATGCAGGTTATTTTTTCCAAATATTCTTCAACTTTGATTGATTGAGTCCAGCGATAGAGAACACACACATCCAGAGGGCCTTATGTAATTTAGAAACAGAATGAGAAAGCAGAGAAAAACTACTGTTATACATTTTACAGACAAAAGTGTAAAGCCCAAAAAGCTCAGACAACTTTGGATAGAAACTACAATGCCACTAAATCAAACGGTGAGATGCTTCTCAAACTTTGATGGACTTCAAACAGTTTTTCAAACAGACGCTCCTAGACCTCACACCTTGGTGTTCTGAGATAT